CTTGTCCGCTTGACGAGCAATACATCGCAGAGGGCGCTTGCGTGCCTGAAGGCCAGCAGACCACTCCACTTCTAGCCACCATCCATGTCGTTCGCTCCATTGGCCAGCTGACTCGGACCTTACGAAGCTACACCATTTCGTCCGGAACTCTCGAAACCTTTGAGCGACACTTTAGCGCTTGCCTGGCAACCTTTCCTCCCCACTACCATCCGAAGTCCGATTTACCTCTCGATCCGCGCTCTTTTGCCCCGATCGGCTACCTTCAAAACGCTCGCCTCATTCTCCACCGCCATAACATATCTCCGTTTTGCTCCCCCGAGGTTCGCTCAGCGGCTTTAGATTACAGCATTTCAATCGCACAAGATACTGCCCATCTCCTTTCCCGTTGCATGCGCTATGCTTCGAGTACAGGGAACGATGACTGGCGACCCTTGTTCGCATCGTCGGCCGGGACGATGCTGTGTACACATATATGGCGTTGTGTGCTCTTGCTTCTGTTTCGTCAGGAATTCGCTGCGGCAATGGTGTGCGTTCAGGTCAGTGCCGTGGTTGGGGATTCGCGCACCGTCAACGCAGCCTGTGGACGGTACATCGCCTTTTTTCTTAAATGCCTGCTGGAGCGGTTGCGCCGTGGTGATGCAGCCAATCTGGATCGGGACGAAGAAATGGTGGCATACGTGTCCGGTGACATGCAAGGAACCAGTGACGGCAGCTGGATATGGCAAGGCAGTGAGACCGGTTCTCAGCTAGAGGCCATGTCCCCAAAATACAACAGCCCAGTATCGTTCACCCACACTGGCACCCGGAATGATTGGCCTAAAGGTGAGGATTCAGAAGTCGCTTGGGAGGGCTGGGACTGGGTCGAGCAGACGGTCCAATATCTGTTGAATGAGAAGCAGCAGCAGCAACAAGAGTATGAGCGGCGGGATGTTCCGCTGGCCGCGAAACCAACCGAACCGGCACTTCTCAAAGCGGAGCCTACGGGGGGAGTTGCAGACCCGGCACCGGCACCAAAAGAAATGAATTCGGTTCAGTCACGGATGACGATTGCGAGTATCATCTGAATCGTGACAAGTCTGCTTGTCAGAAAGACCATGAGAGCCTGTGCATCCTACGGCAAGGTCTGGTGAAGCGTCGCCAGCGTATTCGAGCTCGTGCTCAACATACACACTCTGTACCTGATGAGTCGCTCCGCGACAGCAGGAGGGAGGTACGCACCGCGGCGCGCACTCACAAACCAATCTTCTTCCAAATAGATTTTGTCGGTGCATTCGTATTATCTTCACCAGTGCTAAGACTGGATTGAGGGTCTGGGCCACGTATGAGACGAGATAATGGGTTACGACAGATTCCTGCATATATGTTTGACTATGTATACATATAGTACCGTACAATATTGTAATATCCTTGCAGATAGTGGCATTCATAGAATTTCGCCATCAACCGGGTCATAACGGTTGACGAGTCTGTTCATTATTGCTGCAGACCAAAAGCGGATATCTCATTGAAGAAGGAAGTGGAAGTAGAGAGAAAATCTACGTCTCCAGATTGATACTCCGTCCAAACCGCGCATACAGCGCAACCTTGAGCTGCTGCAACTCCTCGCGTACATCTCCTAAGGTCTCCTCCAGCCTGGACACCTCCGAATCGATCTGCTCAGTCGACGACGTCAGAAGAGACTGCGCATCTGCCAGCGGAAGCTGGAAGAAGGCATCGCCGATCTTGTACCTGCTATGCGTGAACAAACATCCTGCCTGACGGTGTACATGCTAAATAAAAGCAAAGCAAGTATGGAATGGGATACATACGGGACCAACTCATCCTCATCCGCCAACTCCAGCTCGGTCGAAATCTCCTCTAGATCTTCCTTGTCTTTCTGTTTACGTAGATCAGTATTTATTCATTCTGATGCAATAGCGGGTAGCCAGCCAGTATGAAAGGGGGAACGTACCTGCTTCGCCTTGAGCTGCTCTTCAAGCACAGACTCGCGCTGATGAAGACGGCTGAACCGGTTGATCTTTTCTTGGTCCTCGCGCCGGACCTCGTTTTCTTCGCTGCTGGCTGTGGCTTCGTCTTCTTTGCTGAGCTGGGGGGTAGCATTAGATTTGGCTTCTACTGCTGGAGATGAGGTTGGAGTAGGGTGTATGAGGCGTACCATGCGGCGATTCATCATTTTGGCTGGTGGCTCTAAGTCAGGGGGGGGAGAGGTTTGAGAGAGTCAAGCTTTGTGGTGGTGGACTTTATGCACTGGGAGTAGATAATTCTTGTTCGGATTTGGAGATGTGATTTGATTGTGGTGGGATGTGGCCCGTGCGGGGCCAGGATTTGGATGTCTGTGAGGATGAGATGAGATGATGTGATATGAAAGTTACTCTTGTTATTGTCTATTGAGGTCATGGAGCGTTTTAGGTAGGAGATTGTACATGGTGAGTATTGAGTATTGCCATATGATCTATATTTGTCTCGTATAAGACTGGTGAGAATTGCTGTGATTCTGGATCTGGACACGTGCTGCGTCAATCAGTGATGGTCAGGAGCTGCATGCTTACAGTGTACTCGTAGCCTCAGAGCCATAGAGATGGAAATATCGGTAGCTACATCTAGGAGGCCGCAGATCTAGAATGACCAGCTACTGGATTTCTCTAGTATTCTCGTCAAGATAGAGGATATCTACACGACTTGGGATGGCAGCGGTCGGGTGACATCATCAGCAGCCTTGTCATCTCTCCCGCAATGAAGCATCATTTGGAGCTGGATAGATCAGATGGTGGATGCCTGCTACGAGGACATGAATAGTCCGTCTTGTTGAGAATCAGTTGTACTTCATTCGTACCTGAGTGCTGTTGAAACGAGCCGGTCGAAGCTTTCCTGCAACGATCGCTATCCGGAGAAACGAATCCCCAAGTGTAGCACGAGTAAACCGCATCCATCTCGTCCTGTCCATCCAGCGGTCCAGCCAGCAATTCATCCTCCGATTCACCTTTTGCCGGGATTTCACTACGATCTTTGTCCCCATATATCATTCTCCAGTATACTGCATCATAACCATACAATTTTTTTTCCATCCTATACTCCAGACAACCCGTCCAAATCACGTCTACGACTCCGCGACACTGGTGGCCCGTGTCCTCACGTTCTCTCCTTCAAGACCGGCATCACCGTTCGTTCGGGCAGCAATATCATTCTTGCGCTCTCGCTGAACTCGGAGAAACCCGATCATAAACGGCCTCATCGATTGTGTAACGCTACGCACCGTCCATCGCTTACACCTTGACTTCCACGATGCGAATACAATCGAGCCTCTCCTCATCGTTGCTCTTCTCCTCCCCCCTCTTGACCGGCCTAGCCTCAGCGTCAGGGTTCGACTGCCAGAATATCATCGCAGAGGGGTACAAATACGATCTCTACGGCTTGAACGGCGTCCACACGCTCTACCATGTCGACAAGACGGAGGACTACATCGTGAATACGACCTACGTGCTGGACATCTGCAAGGCCCTCGGCAAGGCCTCGATCCGAGGGGACCTGAAGTGCGGAACCTCAAAGAATAGTGCGTGGCATCGCCGGTCCCCTTGGGCGTTTGAGATGGGAGGATGAATGAGATGCTAACGGACAGTTCTAGTCTGCGGATTCCAGTACAAGTACGCCGTCGACGGTTCGGAGGAGATCAGCCATGCCTTCCCCATTGTCGGACTGGACCCCATGGGTCACGGCAGCAAGGACCCCGAGGTCACGCGGCTGAAGGGAGATGGGCAGGAAGGGCTGCTGGTGAAATTGGCGGGGGGCGAGTACCTCGACAAGGACAAGAAGAAGAAGGATGCCCGGGCGGTGATTGAGTTCCAGTGTGATCCCGACCGGTCGGGTCTGGAGGGGTTGGCTTCTGTGGAGAATGGGTCGAGCGACGAGGAGACGCGACGGCGGTTGGTGGTGCGGGAGGGTGAAGGCGAGGGCGAGGGCGAGGGCGAAGGCGACAAGGACAAGGAGAAGACGGACCCGAACGACGGCTCGGATCCCTCGCGCAGCCTGCAGTTCGAGAGTTTCGGGCCCGCGGACGACGATACGTACGTGTTGAAGCTGAAATGGCGTACGCGCTATGCGTGTGACAATTATGTCCGCGACAGGAAGGGCGATGGCTCAAGCCATTGGGGGTTTTTCACCTGGATGATCATCATGTACGTCCTTTTTTTCCCCAGCCAGCCACATTGACGCTAATGCTAACGTGATCCTCTACAGTCTCTTCCTCTGCATCGCCGCCTACCTTATTTTCGGCTCCTGGCTCAACTACAACCGTCACGGTGCCCGTGGCTGGGACCTTCTCCCGCACGGCGACACCCTCCGCGACATTCCGTACATTTTCCAGGACTGGCTGCGGCGGGTCATCAATACGCTCCAAGGGAGCGGGTCGAGAGGTGGTTACAGCGCGGTTTGAGGGATTGGATCTGTGGCATTTTTGCGGGCAGTTGGCATTGGCATTGGCACATATGTTATGTTCTGACAGTGATTTCGAAATACTGGCGTGCGCGTCTCATTTGATGACCCGGGAAAACGGCGGGTCAATATGGCTGTTTTGATGCGATAGATAGGTACTGTATGAGGTATGAAGTCGAGCCTTTTCAACCTGTACTAACTGCAAATCTGCATGGTTCCTACTGGATGGTATCTGGCCTACTGATCTTAGTGGCACAAGTCGGCGTAAATCAGCGCAGAATAATGAAGTATCCTAACACAGATATTGCTATGACCCTGACAAGGGCCCAGATGACAATCTCCCTACACTCGAAGATATCACATCACAGACATAATTCAAACAAACAGACGAATCAGAAAAACACAACTATATCCCGAAAATGGCGTCATCAGAGCTAATATCTCATCATCGTCGTTGGCATCGTCATGGGAACATGGATCATCACAGGTAGGCATGTCAAGTGCCAACCTTAAATAACTGCTTAACTCCTCCTCTTCGCAATTTACCCACTTTGTCTCGTTGTCAGCAGTGTCTACACTTTCATGGCGAATTGCTTCAGGTACAGGTAGTCCGGCATGTTGCGGTCTACGGCCTCGCGGATGCGAGCCGCCGCCTCGGGCCCGTACTTCTCGCGCCAATCAGCGTCAAACTTTTCTTCGGATTTGGGTGGGTGCTATGGGCCAAGGTCAGCTATTGTCTATTATGGATAAAATAAAAAAAAAAAAAGAAAAAGGAGGAAAAGAGAGAAAGGGGGCGATGGGGAGAGGAACACTTACAGGTTTCTTCGCCATCAGGCCCTTCGACTCGATCGCATCGTTGTGGAAGCCGCGCCATTTCTCGAACGCGTCCCGCGCAATTTGGTGGTCCGCCTCGGTGTCCCAGCACAGCATGGAGGGATCGTAATCGAGCCCGACACTGCGACAGAACGCCTCGATCATGGCGGCGGGCTTCTCGAGCATCTCGTCCGCATCGACGACGCAGATCTCCGCACCGGACTCGTGGCCCACGCCGAGCCCGGGGACAACGGGCTGTGGTTTCTGGTTGTCGGTGAGCTCGTTGGCGTCCTGCTCGCGCGTGGCGATGTGCGGGCCGATCAGGTGTTCGCTGCGCAGGTAGTCGAAGACGCGGCGCACCTCGTCGTACCCGGCTTCGAGGGGATCGTACGTGTAGAAGCCTGTGACGTCGTCCAGGGGCGGGATGGTGCAGCGGTAGTATGAGGGGACGCTGAAGTGCGGATCGCGGATGAGGAAGGCGAAGTGGAAGCGCGACAGGAGCTCCTTGGGCATCACGGTGGGATTGCCCGGTTCAGGCTCCGTGTCGTACGGGTAGGGCTCACCGGTCCGGGACTTGGTGTGACCGTTCTGTCCGGTCTGGTCCAGGCCGTTGCCCTGCTCGACGTGGCCGTTGGCCACGCCGTTTTCTTCGCTGGTGGTTGGTTCATCGGTGCCTACTCCGCGTTTGATCCTCTGGAGTGAGGGGGCAATGCTGGCAGGCTTGCCGTCGGGGGGAAGAAGGTAGTGGATAATATCCTTGATGAAGACTCTCTTTCCCTGCATCAGGTAAGTATCGTTGCAAAGACTTGACGCCTTGTTGGTTACGGTTTTGTGCATGGGAATCATTGAACCCAAACGTCAATATCAACATCTTGACGGAGCGTTTGACAGGAAGATCAGAGGTCAAGACAGAGCTCATAGACAGGCAGACGATGAAAAGAAAGAATCGAGGTAAGTGTAGGTTTCCCCCCGGATATGGTCACGGATCTCATCATGGCGGAATAACCACGGGTGATTACGAGAGAACGAGAATGAGGTAGAATAGAGGAAATCAGAGGACAAAGGAAAAAAAGGGGCTAGGGTCGGACCTCGTTCTCGGCAGCTTCACGCTCGATTCTATCCAGCACAGTCTTGAAGGTCGACTGGCTGAACCCGCTGTCCAGGCGGGCCTGTTCATCATCGGCGAATCTGGAGCTGAGCCTCTCTGGACCATAGTAAAAGGCATCGCCAAAGGGCTCATGAATACATTGTATAGTATCACGGCGAGTCATAAAGACCTATGACAAAATGGTCAGTCACCTGTTCGTCTAGACTGTGCGTGATGCAAGGAGTAGCAAGGGGTGTAGTACTCTTTCAAAGGCCGTGGAACATGCTCGAGGATGGGTAGCAACAAAAATCGGTCTCTGTGACATTTCTGAATAGCACTTCTACCTGAGAAATGAATTCTTGTAGTTGTGAAAACCGAGTATTACTTCAACCAGGGAGTTTCACCACCGGCGTAGTAGTTTACTGGGATTTGAACTCCTGTCTTTTTCTTTTTCAATCGTGTACTGTATCAAAACAGCAGGGACAACGAAAAGAAGACGAGAAGCGTCAACGATAATCCTATCCGACAATCAGATGGGTCAGGTCAGGATGACGAAGAGTGCTTCAGACAGAGAAGAAGCGGGAGTGTCCAGGGGAGGACGAGCAAGCTTTTATATGTTGAGAGTCACGACAGAAGGAGGGGAAGTCGAGTTTGTTTCTTTTTCTTTTTTCCTTTTTCTTTTTGAATCAGAAAAAGTAAATTCTTATTAGTCCTGTGGAGAGTCAAGACTGTTGGAAGAATAATAATAATAGGGATGGAAATCGTCTGGACGTTGAACCACGTTTACAGCACGTCCGAGATAAGAAGGTCTGCCTTGACTCCTTGAGGAACTGGAGATGCTGCTTGGATCTACGATTATTATTTGCTGGACTAAATCAAATCCACTTTGCTGCTCAAGGCACTGTGCTTCACTGATTGTTATGATTGATGCAAGTCATTCAGCCAGGAATATCAATCCCCATGTGTGTTGCAGTATACTGTGTAGTAGGTGTTGATATCTACCCCTCCCACATAATAATTTGCACAAGATTGAGATCTACACTTTTCCCCTCCATGAATGTTTCTTATTTACTTTCTTGAATCACTTACCTTGATTCGCCGCCTCCTACGTATTCCAGAGGAACAATTCCGAGGTCTAACAAGTGGGTTTTCCAGTTCCTGAACCACGGCCGCAACGAGTGGCTTCCTGCGCAGCAAATCAAGCTGAAAAAGTGGGGAGAAAAGTACGCAGGCGTTTGAGAGGCGAGACAGTTTCTGTTCTTGCCAATTAGTGTCCCTTAGCTTAAGCTGTCGAGTTATGCAAACCCCAGCAGGACCGTTCGTTGGTCGGAAGAAGAAGACATCCCTGTTTTGCCCTGAGTTAGCTGAGAGAGAAGCGTAAAGAGAGTATCTGGATGGTCGATGAACACGAAAGAAATCCCCGCTTTGACGTCATGATTGAGTGTATGATGGTGAAACTGGAAGCATGAAGCTGTGTATCTTCGATGAGGACTCTAGGTGAAGTATTCCGGGAGGCTACGGAGTATAAATAACCGTTGTTGATCAGGACAGATCTGAGATTCGACAATAATGATAGCGGACAATCCTTAGTCCACTTTTGTATACCAACCATAAGAATGGAAGAATGGAAGCAGAGGAAATTGGAATGCCTACTACGGAGTAGTACTCCGTACTCTGTAGTATAATGCATCACGGACTATCCTCGCTAGGTCTGTGTGTAGGTACAGGCAGAACGTGGGGTGGATCATGCCATCCTCTCTGCTCGAATGGGCTGAAGCGAAACTGAATCCAGTTTGAGGCGCCTTTTCCGTTATTTTTTCAGCTTCTATCCTGAACAGCGGTAGGAGAAGAGGGTCTGATCGCTCAGGAAGATCCATCATATCGTATTGATAATGTCCATTTTTGAGTGTGTTGATAGACGCGGTTGTGATTGGTCCAGAGCAAGGCAACAAGGCAACGAGGCAACAAGGCAGAAAGGCATCCACAATGCTTCTAGCTGTCGGCTCCACTTCAAGCAACTGATTTGCAGCTTGCTTGCTCCCATGGGTACATCTGACAGCTGCGATGGTGATCTATACAATTATTTCAGTACCATCAACAGTCAAACAAATAATAATATCGAATGAGCAATCCAAACTCGGGATTCAACATGCACAAGTATGGGTGTGCCGGATATCAGTTGCGTGTATAGATCACGTGACCCATAAGGCGGTTCTGGAAGGCGGTGGAAGCGACTGGTGTCGTCATGATGGTGGGAGACTCTTCTCGACGCTGCTGAGGATGGGCTGATGATACCCAACTACAGCTATATCTAGCTCACATCTCGTCCGAGCAAGCTCTCTTCGCTTTTCTCCTCTAACAGATACCTCACATCAACATCATTACTACCTAACAGTCAAATCCGTTTCACAATGAACGGTGCTCAGTTCACAGACAGAGCTAACAAGGCCTTGCTGGACTCCAGCCATCTGGCCGAACAATATGCCCACTCTCAGATCCTCCCTGTCCACCTCGCTCTTGCCCTCCTCAATCCTTCACCAGATGAATCGAAGGATCAACAAGCGGCCTCCCATCCCTCTCACGACGCTTCCACCGCCCCTCTCTTCCGCCAGGTCGTCGAGCGCGCCCATGGCGACCCTCAGCTCCTCGACCGCGCCCTCATGAAGCTACTCGTCCGGTTACCGAGTCAAGATCCTCCCCCCGAGACAGTGAGCGTCTCACCCGCCCTCGCCAAAGTCATTCGTTCTTCCACCGAGTTGTCCAAGACGCAAAAGGACAGCTACGTCGCCATCGACCACCTCATCCTCTCGGTCGCTCAAGATTCTCAGGTGCAGCGGGCACTGGCGGATGCGAATATCCCCAATGTCAAGCTGATCGATACGGCTGTACAGCAGATCCGTGGTACACGGCGGGTAGACTCCAAAACCGCCGACGCCGAGAGTGAGAATGAGAACCTCAAGAAATTCACCATTGACATGACCGCTCTGGCCCGAGAGGGCAAGATTGACCCCGTCATTGGTCGTGAGGAGGAGATCCGTCGAGTCATCCGAATTCTCAGTCGTCGGACCAAGAACAACCCGGTACTGATCGGCGAACCCGGTGTCGGTAAGACCACCATTGTCGAAGGTCTGGCTCGTCGTATCGTGAACGCCGATGTTCCGGCCAATCTGGCCCAGTGCAAGCTGCTCTCCCTCGACGTCGGCTCATTGGTCGCTGGTAGCAAGTACCGCGGTGAGTTCGAAGAGAGAATGAAAGGCGTGCTCAAGGAGATCGAAGAATCCAAGGAAACAATTGTTTTGTTTGTCGACGAGATCCATCTTCTCATGGGTGCAGGCTCGAGCGGGGAGGGAGGTATGGATGCCGCCAATTTGCTGAAGCCCATGCTCGCTCGCGGTCAGTTGCATTGTATCGGTGCAACCACGCTTGGCGAATACCGCAAGTACATCGAAAAAGACCAAGCGTTCGAACGACGATTCCAACAGGTCCTGGTCAAGGAACCTACCGTCTCCGAGACGATCTCCATCCTCCGTGGTCTGAAGGAGAAGTACGAAGTACACCATGGTGTCAACATTCTCGACGGTGCTATCGTTGCCGCGGCCGAACTGGCTGCCAGATACCTCACTGCTCGCCGACTTCCCGACTCGGCCGTCGATCTCATCGATGAGGCGGCGGCCGCCGTCAGAGTTACCCGCGAGTCTGAGCCCGAGGCCCTGGACAACCTCGAGAGAAAACTCCGCCAGCTGCAGATTGAAATTCATGCTCTCGAGCGGGAAAAGGACGATGCGTCCAAGGCCCGGTTGGAGGCTGCCAAGCAAGAAGCAGCCAATGTGACGGAAGAATTGCGGCCCTTGCGTGAGAAGTACGAAAGCGAGAAGCAACGCAGCAAAGCGATCCAAGATGCCAAGATCAAGCTCGACTCGCTCAAGGTCAAGAGAGACGAAGCGGAGCGGTCCGGTGACACTCAAACCGCGGCCGATCTGGAGTACTACGCGATCCCGGAAACTAAGACCTTGATCGAGCGGCTCGAGACCGACCGCATTAAAGCGGACGAGGAACGTCGTGCTCGACACGGCGATAACGGCGAGGCCCTGCTTGCCGATGCGGTCGGGCCCGATCAGATCAATGAGATTGTCGCCCGCTGGACTGGTATTCCTGTCACCAGACTTAAGACCACCGAGAAGGACAAATTGTTGAACATGGAGAAGTACCTGGGCAAGATCGTTGTTGGCCAGAAGGAGGCCGTGGCTTCGGTGTCCAATGCTATTCGGCTGCAGCGGTCCGGTCTCAGCAACCCCAACTCGCCTCCGAGCTTCCTCTTCTGCGGTCCCTCCGGTACCGGTAAGACTCTATTGACCAAGGCGCTGGCGGAGTTCCTCTTCGACGACCCCAAGGCCATGATCCGGTTCGACATGTCCGAGTACCAGGAACGGCACTCCCTGAGCCGGATGATTGGTGCCCCTCCCGGCTACGTTGGGCACGACGCTGGCGGCCAGCTGACCGAGTCTCTGCGCCGCCGCCCCTTCTCCATCCTTCTGTTCGACGAAGTCGAAAAGGCAGCCAAGGAGGTACTCACCGTCCTCCTGCAGCTCATGGACGACGGCCGTATCACCGACGGTCAGGGCAGAATCGTCGACGCCAAGAACTGCATTGTCGTCATGACCTCCAACCTGGGAGCGGAGTTCCTCTCGCGGCCAACCACCAAGGACGGCCGCATTGAACCACAGACGCGCGAGCTGGTCATGGGCGCTCTCCGCGACTACTTCCTGCCCGAGTTCCTGAACCGGATCTCCAGCACGGTTATCTTCAACCGGCTCACCCGGAAGGAGATCCGCAAGATCGTCGACCTGCGCCTTAACGAGGTGCAGCGCCGGCTGGAGCAGAACAACCGCAACGTCACCATCCAGTGCACGGAGGAAGTCAAAGACTATCTTGGCGAGGCCGGGTACTCGCCAGCGTACGGTGCCCGCCCTCTGGCGCGGATCATCGAGCGCGAGGTCCTCAACAAACTTGCCGTTCTTATCCTGCGGGGAAGTATCCAGGACGGCGAGGTTGCGCGGGTGGTCATGCGCGAGGGACGCATTGACGTGCTGCCGAACCACGAGATTGAAGTCGAAGAAGACGAGGAAATGGTGGACGAGGATGACGCGCTGGCGGAGATTGAGGATGGCAGCGGTGACATGGATCTGTACGAGTAAAAGTTTGGTTGATAGACGAGTGATGAGCTACGACTTTTTTCTTTTTTCTTCAGCGTTACTGCATTTTCTCTTGTCTATATGCATGACCTTTTATCTAATGATCATAATGATGATTCTATTCACTTCTGTCTTCTTGAATCTCCATCGTAGTCTATCGTAATCATCTCTCCATCTCCTTCTCCCTAAACCACCTCGCAATCTCCCCCGTCTGACAAAACTCCACCTCATCCCCCCACCCCTTCACCCAGCCCAACAGCCGCTCCAACATCCCAATCACATGCGCCATCCCGCTCGTATCCGGATGCATCAGCACGGGGAAGATCGGCTCCGCCTCGTTCTCCCGGATCCACAGGAACCGATCGCGCCACAGATTCTCGATGACCCGCACGTCCGTGTACCCGTGCGAGTTGGGCGCGTGCGGGAGGAACTGCATCGGCGTCATGTCCTCCATGTACCAGTTGCAGGGGACGCAGACGAGCGGGCGGCGGTCCGCGGCCGCACCGGCGTCGGAGCCGGGCTCGGCGCGGCGGATCGGGTGCATCCAGGTGGACGCGGGCTGGGAGAAGTCGATGGGCTGGAGGGCGGGGCGGCGCGGGGCGAAGAAGGGGTGGCAGTCGTGGTCGGTTAACGAGGCGTCTTTGGAGGATTAGTATTTAGCGAGGGAAGAAGTGAAAAGAGAAGGGTGGAAAAGGCGCACCGTATTCGAAGCCGAATTCCTCGAGGAGGTCCAGCGTCGACTCGCGCAGCTGGTAGAGGGGCGCGCGGTATCCGACGGGTTTCTTGCCTGTGAGCTTGGTCGAGATCTCGATGCACCTGACCAGGACGTCGCGCTCCTGCTGCTCGGTCAGCTGGTAGGCGCCTTCGTGGGCGTAGCCGTGCAGCGCGATCTCGCAGCCGGACGCGACGACCTGCGCGACCTCCTCCGGGAAGCTCTCGGTCGAGTGGCCCGGGATGAACCAGGTGCAGCGGTCTGCGATGTGGAGTTTCGAGAGCATGCGGAGGAGCCGCGGGACGCCGACTTTGGCGGCGAAGAAGCCGGCGGAGTAGTCGGCGAGGATGTTGTCCGGGTGGTGGCCCGTTCCTAGCCAGCCGGAGACGGCGTCGAGGTCGATGGATACCGCGACGCGGATCTTGTTGCGTTTGGGTGCGGGTAGGGTGCGCGGGATCGACGGCTTGGTGGCCTCGCTCTCCTTCCAGAGGAGGCGGCCTTCCATCCCTCCGTCGACGCGGAGGCATTGGCCCGAGATATGGCCTGCGGCGCGGTGCGACGCCAGAAACGCCATGGTACGTGCGACGTCTTCTGGGTTTGCGATCTTCTTGAGGGGAACACTGTTATCCATCCATCCATCAGCGACAGTCGTCCGGGTAGGTTGTCAGAAACATACGTCGCTTGGGCTTCGGCCCACAGTTCCTTTGGATCATGCAGTCTGCCTTGGATCATGGGTGTGTCCACCCATCCCGGCGCAACGGCGTTGATTCTTGCCCTGCTATTGAGGCGGACGATCTCGTTCTTCACACTCTTGACCAGACCATACTGGAGACCAGCTTTGCCTGACGAGTACTCGGCATGGCCCTCCTGCCCGAATACCCCCGTCTCGCTTCCTGTCACGACAATGGCCAGATTATCCAGCTCGTTGCCCAGAGTCTGCTGTGCGGTGCGCGCAGCGCGCAGGAAGTGCTTGATGGTGAGAAACGTGCCGCGGACGTTGACGCTGTAGGTCTTCTCCCATGTCTCCAGCGGTAGCTCCCAGATGGGATAATTGTGGCCTTCATCGGTGATGCCGGCGTTGGCAATGAGGATGTTGATGGGTCCGCATCGCTTGACCGCGAGTGCGATGCCGGATCGGATGGATTCTTCGTCGGAGATGTCGCCGCGCTGGATGTTGAGTCGGGAGTAACTCTCGCCGATGGTGTCTGGGACCTCGAACGGGCGGAGGTCATATGCTGTTACCTTGCATCCTTGGTCTGCATTCAGACTCGGTTAGCAGTAGTCCCAATAATGACATCTACGCGGTATGATGCAGGTCCTGGCCAATGTGCATTACAGACGACCGCAGTCTCGCTGACCCATATTCCGACCTGAACATAGGCTCTGCCGATCTCTAGCTTACGTGGACAGGTAGGGGTAAAAGGCAATGCAATGCGATCTACAAACCTAGGAATTCCTGAACGGCTCGTTGTCCAATGCCCCCGGCAGCGCCGGTGATGAAGACATGAAGGCCCTCCAAGCCCAAGAACGAGGGAGGAAGTTCCCCCGACATGTTGCAACTTGCAACGGGTAGCTAGAAAGTTTGGAGCAGAACTTTGTTGGAAACCACACCGGGATTTGACGAAGAATCAAGGCAGAGTCGGTTGACAATCGATAGTGGCCGATCTCTTGCTTATCACTTGGCTGTGCGAGTGCAACGCTCCTTGTCGAAATATGTCCCGAGGCCGATAGAGGAACCATAAACGATAGGTAACTACACATCGGGTGGGGGATATGGCGATCGCGGAGTGGCATTCGGCAGCACTTACTGAGAGGAACCTGCTGGACTGTTTTACCATTATCCAAGACCCGGTGCATTGTCTTGTCTTGAGTATTGACAGGACGATCACCACAAACACACGGGGCAGTCATGAGTCTAGAAATTCAGAATATCTTGTGCTGACTTTCTTTCCTGACTACATACTACGTATTGTTTGGCTTCCCCTGCTGCAGGTCTGACTCTGAGCCGGTAGAGTCATGCTATCTCGGAGGCTGGACAAACAAAGTAGTCATCGGCAAGGCATACTGGACCATCAATATCCACTGTAACAACCATAGAGAGGTAGAGCCGGAAAAGACATGAAATTGTAGGCCAAGACGTCCGCATCTGTCTAGACTAGAATAGATCAATTTGCGACAGACTATGCAAACACCACGTGGAGTGCATGCTGCAGATGATTGTAAACTCCAGGATGACCCTGGGTTAGTGTGTGGGCCAAGATAATGAATCCTTTCGCTTAGACTACACCTTGAGATGATCTTGTATAAAACTTCAGTGTCGAATGTCTTTCAAGGTGATATCTCCATATCAGGTAAATGAAGACAACCTCTGAGAGCAAGATAAGACAGACCATGGTTCAGCAAAGGGCAGTCCCAATCCCCACAGGAACAGGTTTCACTTTCTCCCCCGAAATTCAATAGTCTTGTTGCTACAGAGTACGGATATCTATCTATCTATCCTTAGCAATCTCTATTAATATTGCATTGTGGCTGATGCGAAAATTTTGCCATATTAAATTCAAAATAATAGAACGAGTCTGGCCTCTTGGCCGTGATTAATATTAACCATTAAACATGAGACCGGCGAATTCCTTTACACAGTCGGTATTTCCTTACCCCTCTGAGAACAATACAAGCCTACAGAGTACTCCGTCCAAGATGCGCATTGGATCTCTTTATGCTCCACCACCAGCAGCACGATCAATGATCTACAGATAGAACTGTAGACAACAATGCTCATCATGGAGACTGGAGACTGGAGGTGGACTCGAGCCTATCCTCTCAAGGCATCTCGTACCAGACTTCGTACTCCATTGCATTTCAACTCCGGCGGTAGGATAAGATCCGACCCCGATGCTCCGCTCGTCTCAGTCTACGAGTAAGGTACCGAGGTACAGTATTCGCTGGATCTTAACCAGGGGCCAAAAACACGCTTGCTTGATGGAGCTTAGTCACTCGCTTCCGTCTCGGATGAAGCTTGCCGTTTCAGTATGATCGATAGTCTACGGAGTAGAAGCGATGAGGTTCTCAGCGAGGGAGTAAGTACTCCGTACAGTACACCGAATAATGATAATGCTTATGTATTGTTGAGTGCCCTGGTCTTGGGTATCTCAGTCTTGGCCTGTGCGTGCGCTGTTGTTGCACTTGCAGCGGTTTGTGGGTGTTGAAGATCGAGAAGATTTCCCGATTGAGAAAGGTGGCGGTGGAAGGTCGGCTTGGACTCGTGCGAGAGGTCAGAGATAGATCGATCGGTTTACTCCGTCCAGAGAAGTAAAAGGATTGATTGAAGGACTTGAGCTGGTCATCATTACCTACGTATCTACTCTGTTGATTAAGAGACAGTGGACAGGGTTGAAAAATACAGAGTACTCCGTACAAATTACCTAGGTACACCCTTTACTGTTCAAATACGTAGAATCATACCATGCCCACCCCCACCTGACGCAATTCTCCGGGAGATCTGCAGGCAGGTGGGAGTGGGACAAAACATCCCAACTGAAAAGTATGAAGATTTGTCATTTCTGCGAGAATTTTTGTAAGATGTGTTGTGTTGTCACCTGTCTATACTGCTTTCCACAAATGACCTTGGACGACTGGTCTTGTTAATCTTCTGCAGGTGTGCGATCCTAATAATATTCACTGCATGGTTCAATCCAGGATATCCACGGTTTGTGTCGATAATCTCTGAAGATCAATCAATAATTGATTTCTCAACCCATGGTTGGGTTCGGGGTTCTTCCACTGATAACTCCCTCCACACATGACCACTGCCGGCCCTGGTATCCCCACGATAGCAGTCGGGACGATTGATATACACAATAAGTCAAAACGCCTTTTGGGGTAGTGGCATCAGTAGATCATAACAAAGTCAAAAAAAAAAAAGGGAAATGAAAGGAATTCCAGAAGAAAGATAGTGACAAAAGAAAAGAGAACTATATACAGTTTGTCTAAGTCTATAAGATAGAGAAAGGAAAGGTCGATCGTGTTTTCATCAGGGCTGGGGTTGGTGAGGACCATTGGAGATCTGCGCATTGTGGGTGTCCCAATATTCTGGCGGCCGGGTCTCGCGCTCCACGGTAACCGTCACGTCTTGTCGGATTCTGAGAGCTCGGTCTGACCCATCGTCGCTCAGGTCCCGCTCGTCGCTTTGGTTGACGCTGACATCGGAAACCGCTTTTTGATGCATAGCGGTGCTATGGCTGGTGGTATAGTCGTGCATGTTGTAATCCCCAGACCGTAACTGACTGGCGGGTCCGTAGGCCCGAAGCCCGGATCCTTTGCTGGTCCAGGGTCCTGACCGATACCGGTCTGTTCCCCTCTTCGAGCCCCCGGTCCAGCTCTTGAGAGCGGGGAACACATCGCGCAGCAGAGACCAGACGAGAGGGAGATTGGTGACGAGGATGGCGACGGTTGCTTCGCGAAAATACCAGTTCATGTAGACGTAGGAGATCAGTGCCGGAACCAAGCAGTAGATTTTGTTCAGGACGGCCGCAACAATGACAAAGATTCCCATGCCGAAAAGGACGAGAAGGATGATTTTCTGCTTGAGAGGAACGCGCACTTGCGCCATGAGTGGAATGGCGACGGCGAGCATGAAGACATCGGCCGAGATTGAGATGCAGCCCTGGACGATCTCGTAGTACTGGTACGACGAGCATTGGTCTTGACTGAGTTAGTACGAGTTTCTTTCTAGAGGGCGAGTGACGAGAACTGACAGTCAGGTGTGGGTACAGCCCAGTAGTTTGACAGAGGCCGGCAGATGAGGAACAAGGACAGTTCAACGGCCACGAAGCCTAGGCCGACGTAGATTGAGAGATAGTTGACCCATTTACGTGCCTTCAGACCCTCACTGCGTAGGTAGGACAAGTTAGCGGACCCTGGAGAAAAGCCGTCAGGAGGAAGACCTACGTGATACGGGCATAAATCACCAGCATGCAAGCTTTCATCGCCCAGATGGCCAGAACAAACGAGTGCTCCGACACAAAAACCCATTTACTCCCCCTCACCCGCTCAGCATAGGAAGCCGGCGTTAAATTCGCTATATCTTCATCGGTCATCAAATTCGAACCCCCTCCCGAGGCAACTTCATTGAGGGCAACACATAATAGTGTGTACCAGACGACAGCGAAGAGCATGAGATAGTCATCTGCTTGGAGGTTGAGGACACCCAGTCGACGTATACGTGCGACACTTTATCAAAACAATCAAGTTAGTATCAAGCTGACACAATGGCACATCGCAGTGCCTGGAGTTGGTACTAACAATCGCAGAACAGTCCCGAATATCCCTACCCCATAGAGCACCCATGTTTCCTTTGCAAAGCTCTTTGCAAAGCCCGGGCCTAAGCCTGACATGGTGTCGGACCTCAACCTGATAAACCGGAGATAAAAAGAAGGGTTAGCTAAACAGGCAATCAAAAGACACCCATGTCAGGGACCACGGTGAGATAAATAAGACAAGCAGGGTACCGACATCGTGGAGAGATAAACTTCGGGTAAATCAACTCATCGACTAGCAAGGACGTAGAGCATCAGAACAGCCTTCCGGATTAGGGTTAAAGGCTGATTACGCTGATAGAGGCGTTTGGCGATATGAACCACGAGGTGCAGACAGTAGTAGTGAGCAGGGATGGATGATTGGATGTTGGATATTGTGTACATGACTGCGTGCGTGGGTAGGTAGCTATCCCGGGAGTTTGGAAGAAATCCAATGCTAGTCTCGTGGGTGAACCCCGGGCCAGCCACCTGCAGGCTACTGCAGCCAGAGCACAAAAGCAAATCAATTAATCAGTAGAGAGTCCTATCGAATAATGTCCCATGGCTCAGAGAGGTTCATCCTGGCCAGTGGAGATACCAAGGGATGTGGACCACAGAGGTTGGACATTGGAGTGATTGGGCAGTCAGTCAGGTTGTGTCTGCCATCGCATGTGGAGGACGACATGCGATTGGCCAGTGCACGACAATGATCCTTTCCAATCAGAATCTCGAGAGCATGATTCAAATAAAGGACCTGAGTTACCTAGTTTAAGATCATTACCTCGTCAGTCCTCACTCTGTTCGACCGGTCCTTCTGGTGCAACCACCCGCTGGTGGAATAGATTGCCTGCCATGCCTGGTTTAGCCCACGTCGCGGAAATGAAGCAGTGGGATGGATTTAGTGTTCGCCATCGGAGGCGCTAATTATAGACGAGTTGATAAATTTCATCTGTTGATTGTTGGTCCAAGGACTGTAAAGAAATTTTCATTCATCCATATGTATGCAGTAGGAGGATAATCTCGAATTTTGTAAAGTGAAAACTCATGTAAGGTAACAAGGTGACGACCCACAGCATACAGTGGACCTGCGCCAGGTTAGTGGAAAGTTAGCTTCTGATCTAAAACCTAGTGCTAACTCTAAATTGAGTTAGTAGTCTGGTCTTTTCCTTTAATAATTCTGATTGACAGTATGACACAAGCGGAATAGCTCTCATCCATAACATGATGACCCCATCATCCCACCCATTTCTGTCTCAAG